GGAATTTATTATAAATCTGTGTGTTGCTTAAAAAATGTATTTATTGTGGAATTTTGAATCTCACGTAAAAAGTTGTTATCCCTTTATTGAACAAAATTCACATTGACAAACTGCACCTCCAATACATTGGCTAGCATTCTGTTTGTTCTGGTAGAGTTTTCGCGTGTCGGATGCCAGTCCCGTGAGAAATAAATTCTGAATCCAGCCTCTTTAAGCCCCTTCAGGAAGCCCATCTGTTCCAAAGTGGGAGGTGTGTTGCTAACGCGAATATGGAACTCCATTGCCATCTGTTTCACATTGCGGAGACTTTCTTCCTGTAGCATTACCGGCACAGCCGTGTACTCTGACAGCTCAATGTCGAACTTTAAAACGTCAATAATTCTCTGAAATTGCAAACAGGGGGAAAAGGTTAAGAATATTTTCGAAAGTAGATATTTGGCGCTTACGCAAAATATCTAAAATGCGCACAAAGGGAGTATTTAGATTCAGACATCGTACCAGCTGGATTGATCCATCTCTGCGGGGATTCTCGCTAAAGTGCAGTCAGTGTAATCAGCTACGAGTAAATTGTCTGACACGCCTCGAGAAGCTAAGGAAAGAGCACACGAAAGTTAATTACCACTAGCTGTAAGAGGGGGCATGTCTAAATCTGAATGCTCCCAGATCCAATATCACAAAGAAACACTTTGCAAAAAGTAGTGCGCCTTTAGATCGTTCACCTAATCAAATAAACTTAGCAGTGTATAACACAGATCTTATAATTAAGGTAGTACGAACTTTTTCATGTCCTAGCGTTTTTATTATAGTTCCTAGCGTATTCACCGGCCGTCGTCTTCCAAGTATAGGTTTTTTACCGTTCCATCCCTCAAGGCCCAAGTTATGGAAGATGTTTCCTGGCACGCGGACGTGGTCTTCCTGCCCTATCCTGGAGATTTAACAAGTCAAGCGTAAAAGGGTTGTTGTGTTTTTTTTGTTTTTTTTTATAAATTAAATATGACAATCTGTTATATTTCTCTTGTTGGATATGGATTCTATTTTCGAAATATTCTCAGGAGCGTCCAAAAGCATAGTTAATGGTTGACAGTTACAGCTTCGGTTCAACAGTTAAAACTTTAGGGAGATTGTGCGGACTATAAATCCCTGCAGTGCAGGGTATTTTGCAGTACTAAATATTTAAAAGAAACACGAGCGACAGTTTTCTCTCTTTTCGAGTACTTTTTCAAATAGTCCGTGTCTGTGGCTCAATCCTTATCGATCCGCTTCAATGCACTAATAAGGGTAACATTGCCGAGAGGTGAGTTTTATTGCCTGTACCATTAAATGATGTATATGGTTAAGAGTGTATTGCGAATTTTAAACGGGATCTCAAACGCTTAATAAAATTAATGAGTTATATATATTTTTTGCCCTTGTACAAGTGTGTGTATGTGTGTGTGTGAGAGAGAGAGAGAGAGAGAGAGAGAGAGAGAGGAGGCAGGAAGATGCCCTTACGTGGGATCGAATGAATGTACTTCACACCCTGCTTTAACCATATAGTCATCAAAAGACCAGTTGTTTTTAATCCTATAAAGATAGAAAGTGATATAGAATGCAACAAGCAAAAACAAAAGGCATTTGCTTCAAGATCCATCCATACATCTTCTACTAACAGTAACAGAGTGCATCGGAGTTCCACACAGTCTTATTAGCAATCAAAATTTAGATGTAACTTAGATGTAACTTTTCTTACACATTCAATTGTGTATAAACATGCTTACAATAAAAAGATGATACTCACCCGAATGAATAAACCAGACAGGAGTTTTGCTTTAGCTGAAAAGGGGGATCCAAACAGACTTCCCACCCTCCGTCAAACCTGCTTCCAGCACGCACATGTTGTCGACAGTCGTACTGCTGAGTGAGTAAATATCTGGAAATGCAATACCGCAACCTTTTACTGTAGTTATTTGTGTATTGTTCAGTATCATTGGAAAAAAACAGAATATGTAGGCCTACTATTTTAATTTAAAAATTGCAATGACTAAATACACAAGTTTCAACTTTATATTGTCAAATTGTAGCTGTGCTATGTGACTGCAGTCTTCTGTAAATTCTTTGTTTTTCTTTCAATAAATTCCCTTTAAAACACGCACACCAGGCCGGTTGCTAGAGGGGGTCGGGGATTCGAAAGAACCCCACCCCCCTTTTTTTGCTGGGAAAATGTCCACTCTGGGTAAATTCGCTCTAGGTAAGCTAAGGTTTCATGACAAAAGGTCCACATTTTCCAGAAAAAGAAACCCCTTTAGCAATTGCTGGCTACGGGCCTACACACACTCACGCTCGTACAGAGAGAGAGAGAGAGAGAGAGAGAGAGAGAGAGAGAGACCAAACTCACCTATATAGATCGATCTCAAAACGGTCCAGCACTTCCTTGTCTGTCCCCTCCGGAACTTCATCGTTGTGATGAGGCACGGGAGCATACATGAATCCGACGTCCAGACCAGCAAAGAACGGGTGCGCATATCTTGACCTCCTTCCTGACGTTCTCTAGTCAAATATAACAAAAAGTTGCCCTTAGCAAAATATCAGGCTTGTTGTAATATTGCAACGAATTTGCAGTTAATTTGCTGCAATATTTCTGCAAGCTGCAATTCTTTCTTGCAAATTTGCAGCAATTTTGCTACAATATGACTGCAAATTAGCAGCGATAAAAATTTCTTGCAAACTCCTGCAAGCGCGTTGCCGCAAATTTTTTAGTTTGCAGCAATAATGCTGCAATGTTGCTGCAAACTTTTCATTTTTCTAAAGGTGATTGTACCGAGAATTGAAATCCTCATTGAAAGCGGAAAAATCACTTTCTGGGGGATGGGGATGGCAGTGGTGTTTATCTCCTTCTTCTCCCACCAGACACCATACTGATTTTGCTGAAAAAAAATTTTACCCAAGGACATCCTTCCTTTCCTCCATTAATCTTATTCTTGACAAAAATGTACATAAAATGTCCCAAAATACCTTCCCCCACCACGTATTATAGGGAATGATGATTAATGCTACCACCCATGGACAAAATTTTGTACATGTACCATCTTAATGAAAAATCCATTAAAAGTCGTTTACAAAATCCTTGCTGCTTACACATTGTATAAATAAGTTATAAATAAATAAACTAAATGAATGATAAAACCTTAAACTGAAGACACGTGTGTAGTCGTATATATGGGATATTTCAGATATCGTTTTTTTTCCTTTTACTATTCGAGCGTCAGAGTATTATATCAGCACTGAATGATTTACTAACTTGGTAACCGCGAAGACCGCAAGGCACACAGTCAAATAATACGAATATCTATACGTAAGATGTTCATGGCGAACGATTCAATTTTTATTTTCGTCCGTTTGTTTCAAAGTGTATATTTAAAAGAAATAGCTTACATTACTAAATTGTTTTTTTCCTTGAACCTCCTTGCTATAACATTGTATCAATAGAAGGAATGAAAACAAAGCAGATTTCTATACTAACGTAATCAGAATATGCTTTATTGGCTCATACGAATGACCGCTCACTCAAGCATGTAATAGGATTACTAGTTATATTATTATAGTAAGTTCACCAAGCTAATAAAATATACATTTTTGCCTACCACTTACATCATTCAGCAAAAACTGCCATACAAAAAGGGTGATTGTTACTCCTACAATGATAATCTTTACGGGAACCCTTGGCATTGTCACGGTTGATTTGGATGTCGTTGAAAATCTGAAAAAAGGCTAAGAATGAACACACACAGAGCTCTTTTTTCTGAGATCCATTTCGACTTGTCTCAGAACAGTTCTCCGTGTTCCTCCGTGAGAGAGAGAGAGAGAGAGAGAGGGGTGTTGAAATCTTCATCGCTGGTCTATCTTCAATAACTACGTATACACAGAATGGCCATTATAATAAATATCAACTTTTTTAAATTTAACTTTAAATTAATAATAATTTTAACTTTAAATTAATAGCAATTAAAAGCAATGAAAACTATACGATACATACCTCTGCCAAACAGCGAATGTAAAGATCCATATAATTGCACCCTCATTATGTCAATTATAGATGAAAACGACACGAATTATATAATGAAGAAAGAGTGTTTTAGCTTTATAGCTACGGATAGCTCCTAAACTCCTTACTTTTTAGCTCACAAAAAGGTCAATTTTATATCAAAACCAAGAAATGTGCCTCCATATCACATATTTGATTTTATTTTTTGTTCATCGATTTTATATTTGCGGATCATAGCGAAGCAACCCTTAATCCATCGGTATCTTCTTTTACTTTATCTTGTATTAATTACATTACATTCAGTTTGTAGAAAGAAGTGTTAAGGGTATACTGTGGTGAAAAAACGGGTTAAAAGTTTTTATACTGTAAAACAGCGGTGAACTCTCTGTGTTCCTAGAGCACAGTACGCCTTTAAAGTGCATGTATATCTCTTTTGTATATGGGCCTCATTGTGGGAATCAGGAAAAAATAAATCATCAAAATCCGCGTTAAAAAATTTGAAGTATTTAGCAGCATGAGATGTCCTCATGCTCTTACACCTCTATAGCTATTTTTGTTCCTGACAATTCTTTAACGATGTGTTTGGATACCTTTAAAGCGATATTGAAACGTTATTTGACGGATTTGAATGTGATGAAACCCCTTTCTTGCAATTCTTTTTGTATTTGAACCTGACACAAATCTGAAACTAAAATGCTATTTATATCGCCATGAATTTTCTTCCCACCTCGGCTGCAAACTTTGATTTAGCTTAAAGAAAAAAAAATGAAGACAGGCATGGCAACTTGATCTTGCGAAGTGTCAGTGGTACTTGTTCTTATTACAGCCAATAAGACACATTGAGCTTTAGGAACAATTTTTTTCATTTTTCGAAAAAAGAAAATAACCAACACAGTATCGAAGTTTGATAAATAGTTTATTTTCATTACTGAATCATTTGTAAATGAAAAATATATATATATCAAATATTTACAAGTGGATAAATATATACAATTTAAATGTAAAACGTAAAAACAATTGGTTTTGTACCTTACATAAAGTAAATAACATATCACAGTCTGTTATCCAAGGTCACAAAATTGATGGACGTTTTATTATTGTTATTATTATTGACTTTTTCAGATAATCACATCAAGGCATCGCACGTCTTCATCTTCTCCAGCATGATGTTCAATGTGTTATGAATGTCCGAAGTGACTCCCCCCCCCCCCCCTTCAACCTTGACTGACTCTGGAATTTCAAGGTTGTGGAAATATCATGGTGACTGTCCGGTGTATAAGAATGGCCAAGGTTATCGTCTGCTGCTACGACTGCTTCTTGAAGACGCTCTTGAACTTGCTGGACTACCACCTACACCTGATAGAGAAAGGGGAATAAATTTATAATTGTATAATAATAATAATAATAATAATAATAATAATAATAAAAATAAATTTCTTTTCACTCAGTAGATATCAGTCTGCCACTACAACAGATATTAAAAACGATTTGGAAAAAAAAAAAAAAAAAAAAAAACGGAAAGAGTTGGCATCAGCAATATATGTCAAAAGGCCTTTAGTGACTGAAGACTACATACGCATTTAATTGCATAATTATAATAATTTCTTTTAAATCAGAAAACTGTCACCTTAAATGGCTCAGTCTGTCATAACGAAAGTTAAAAAATTGAGGAAAAAAGGAAAATTGGAATAGGTTGGAACTAGAAGAATAATTTATATGGCAACAGGTCTTCAGCGACTTCTATGCAGAATCAGAGGTGAGCATGGGCAATATATAGGCAGACAGAGATATCATTCCACAGACGCCCCCATCTCACCTCCAATGGCCAGTCCTGCCCCTATGTCCACTGCGGCTGGTCTTCCCTGGCTGGACGTCTGGGAGGCTGGAGACTTGGGGGTGGAGTAGCCACTGCGGACAGAGGACAGGCTACTTCTGGCACTGGACGGGCGGGAACCAAATGGACTGCCCATACCTCCGGCTGGAGGTGGGGGAAGATTGGCCTGGAAACGATAAACACTTGGTTTAAAATACCGTAACAGACAATAATGATTTTTGATTAATTTAATCAACAGTATAAAAATGCTCCTAAATTATTCCTCAAAAATTCAATTGTCAACACCCAATTATATGCTACACTATTAAAATATTTAAAATATTTAAGTTTTATTATTGAGCCTGGAAAGTGGTCACGATCTTTTTCTCTTTTTCTTTTTCATCCCCCCCCCCCACCCCCACCCAACACACACACACACACACACACACACACACACACACACACACACACACACACACACACACGTGCACGTGCAGGCACTGGTCCCATGACTGACCTGTGTGAAGTAGAGGTTGACTGCCTGTGCCAGGTCTGGATACTGAGACGTCACCTCGCCCACCTGCTTCATCGCCATCTTGTTGAACTCCCGCATCTCACGGATGTCCATGTCTTTCTGCAAATACCCAAAACAAAAGAGTACAGTTAGGTTACATAGCTCAGAACAACAACATGAGTAATAACACTGTTTTTGGCAAATATACATAAGAAAAAAAAAACATCCCTCACAATCCATTGCTCAAAACAAATACATGTCTGCTTCTTTCTGTAAATATACAAAAACTATTGATATGGCTCAGAAAACATTTGTCTGTAACTGTCAATTTCGCATTCTTAAATTTCTAACCATTCAAATTTTAATCGTCTATTAGAAATATACAATATATAATCTGCTAGACCTATGGGCCCTGTTATTGAACTCCTTACCTCATCTGGGACTTCTCCCTTGCTCTTCTTAGCAGATCTTATTTCCCTGGCATATCTAACATTCTGTATAAAATAAAACATGACATATACTTTATGATAAAATAAGTGATTTGTATTTAATTTGTATTTAATTATTATTTTTAAAAATTACTATAATCAATTCCACCAATACCATTATCATTATAAAAAGCACTATTATCGCCATTACAATCACCACTAATTTTATAATAATGTTAATAATAATAATAATAATAATAATAATAATAATAATAATGACCTGTTTCATGACTCTGTCCAGTTTACCCTGCTGTTCATCCATCTCCTTGTTCAACTGGAGGATCTTGTTCTGCTTGTCCTGGATCATCTCGATGTAGGCGTCTTCGTCTCTGGTCAGGGTGTCCAGGTTGTGGCTCATTGTCTGTCAAACAAAAAGTCACCAAATTCATTATTAAGGTGAACAGAAGGTCTCAGCATTCATTATCAAAGTCAGTGTTGGATTTTTTGGACAATGTTAGTGTCTTTGTATTTAATGCCATAAATGGATTTTAAAATGTAATTCAAGCATTGTAGATTGAAGGGCTCTATATCTAACAAGACTTCACAGGGGTCAAAGATCCAATACTTGGTGCCCAGGACAGTGTCAAAAAATCTAACACAAAAATAAATAAATAAATAAATAAATAAATAATGATACTAATGGATAGCTATTTATAAAGGCTATGCACACATGATCTTTCGTACCTGTAAATCTTCCTGAAGCTCTCTGATCTGCCTACGCTTGTATTTGTATTTATCCATGACAGCCCTCATCTGTTCTTCTAGCTGTGCCTTCTCTTCCATGTCATCACCTTGAAAAAAGTACAATAATATTAAATTAAACATGAAAATTAACTCAATTCAAGGGGACAAACAAAATGCTAAGCATCAATAATAGAACTTTTTAAATAAAAGTATTATTATAAATACTTATAAATGTAAATATTATTTCAAAATATTCAGGGTGTAAATTACTATGATATACATTCAACTAGCTAAATTTACCTGTAACTGCATGCATAAGTACCCACGTTGTCTGTGTCTCCACCCCCCCCCCCCCACCCTCAACCCCTCCACTCCAACACAGTTTCTGCTAAATTTAACTGAACTCGGTGAATTAGTTGAAGATATTCACACACAAGTTCATGGACAACAAATACTCACTGGAATCTGTGACTTTATTAAAGCTCTTCCTGTACTGTTCATTCCTCCCGTTCATCAGCCTGAGCGTATTCTCCAGGGCTTGGATCTCTTTCTCAGCCTTCCTGATCCTGGCGTCTAGGTCGTCACCTGTACGCTGGAGCTCTTCCTTCTCTTGGGCAGCCTGTTCATAAACAATGACAAAAGATGAATAATAAGATAAGTACTACACATCTCTGTTGTAAAATCTAAGCTTGTTTTCAAAGGACATCACAGAAAACAATATTTTATATCTACCAGCACAGTTACCAGTGCATGGTGCAAAGAAAAAAAAGAAAAAAGAAAAAAAATTCCTTACTCGAATCACGTAGTATGCCTGGGATTTCTCTTCTTCCCCCTCTGGTGGCGCCATCTGTACCATCAGGATCTCATATCTAGATGACGAAGAAAACTTTATCATACGGAGGGCAAAGAAGTGATGTGGGTCTTATGTATCTTTAAACATGCAGTGATCAAGTTCTCATTGTATAAAAAGTAGAACTTAATTCATAAATCGAATTTATTATATAGATAATGTCAATTTCTTCCACTGTAAATAATTTGACACAAAATGTTGCAAGCTCATCCCAGGTAGTGTCACAAATCTTTCTCAACACAAACAACTGGACAAGTTGCTTGTTTGCACACTTATATTAATACTTTAATTTCATTTGTTCATTAATTTCCCATACTAACTGATTACTGACATTGTCTAAAAATTAATAATCATGCAATCACGTATGAAGAACATTTTAAACACAAAAATTGTGACAAGCCGAACAGAAAGCCATATACACCACAATCTGACACTAGGGGCTCAGTTACTGCACCCTGTCTATCATAATGTTGTCCAGAGATAACTGACCTTTTCCTAAGTTTGTCAATCTTTGCTATCCTGTCATGGAGCTCTGCACTGATCTGTGACCTCTCCTCATCTGCCGCTCTCACCTGTGCTGTCAACATCTCTGTGTGGATGTCTATCTCACCACGACGCTCCTTCATTGCCTAAAAATAAATATTTATATTTATATTTATATGTGAACAATACAGTTCATGTCGGACAAATTATACATATGGGCCTGTATCTATACCACTCAGACTCTGACAAACAGGGTTTCATACTTCTTAGCCAAATTTAAACCAAATACAAGAAAGAAAATATAATACAAATTTACAATATTTCACCACATCTATCACAGACAGATTAAGTCTAAAACTACCCATGTGACCATTAAAAACAATGCTAAAGTGAGCCCAGGTGCTAAATAACATAACATCCACTTACAGTTTCCAACTGCAGTCTTCTCTTCTCCAATGTGAACACATCGTCAGCTTTGGTGTACAACATGTCCCGCAGCCGCTTGATCTCCAACTTAAGAATGTTGTCATCCACCATCTTTTGCTGTAAGAGGAAAATGATTTCGTTGAAAAAAAAGTTAATATCAAGAAGTCCATTCATTGCATATAACATGGATATGATATTTAGTATCTAATAACAGAAAGGAAAAAACTAAATATATATATATATTTTTTTCAATTCTGAATCCAGCTCNGTTGTGGAGGTTCAGCTCCTCTATCTTGCTGGTCATGTCTGCCTTCTCCTTGGTGCTTTTGTCCAGTTCACGGCCCACTCTGCGGATGTCATCCTGGAAATAAATTTTAATTTAAAAGTCTTGTCCAGTGGATAACAGTCACATGAAGAAGGGACCACGTAAAAAGTTGTTGTAAGAGTAGCAAAAAAAAAAAAAAAAAAAAAAAAAAAAAAAAAAAAATTCGGTCAAAGTTACTACATTTTATTTTATTATATAAAAATCTTTGATCTAATTAACTTTTTAACCCCCCTGGCTAAGGGCCTGCTTACACAATACAAGTCCTTACCTGCAGTCTCTTCAACTGCAGTCCTAGCAGTGCATTGGTGCTGTTCTTCTCCTCCAGAGTGTCTGTCAACTCCTTGATCCTAGCCTCCAAGTGGACCTTCTCCTCGTTACTACGCTCGCCCTGCATGCGATTAATACGCCTGTCAAGCTGCTGCAGGTTGAAATCCTGGTTGTATATGATCTCCTGTTGCTTCAGAGAGTCGTGATCCAGCTTGGCGACTTTGCTGTTCAGGTTACGAATGGCAGCCTGGCTGCCCTGGATCTCCGCCTCTGTGTCTCTTTCACTCCTCTTGGCATCAAAGAGCTCCTGGGATTTCTTGTAGTGCAGCTCACGCAGTCGTTTGAGCTCTGTGTCCATTTCTTTCTGTCGGCGCTCTTCTTCCTGCATGATCTCGTCCATGCGCGCAGCACGCTCCTCTGCACTAAGCTCCGACTCCGTTACGATTTTCAGTTTCTCCTGCAGCTGTTCTCGCATTTCCAGGGCTTCTTCAAGTCTGAAAATTAAACAAAAATCAATGACCAAAGAGCGACCTAGTTATAAATCAGAAACTGACTTCCAATTAAGAAGAAAAAAATCACCTGTAGAAATATTCTGATAATTTTCATTCCTCAAATAAATATTTCTTGTTGAGTTAAAAATCAATTGAAAAACACAATCTTTATGTTTTTTGGTTCATTATACAGATTAAAGAATATAGTCATATTTTTCAAATATTGCCAATTTCTAACTTCAAAGAAAAAAATCAATTCAGGTATTACTTATAATTTTATACATAATTCATCATCTATTATTCTTTTCTTCAAAATAGGAGTAATTTTCTATTCAGGAAAAAATATTGTACAGTCTGGTCAATTAATTTTAATGCTCTATAGGCAATAATTGAAGGCATTTTGTCAGTTACACATTAAAAAGAATTATCATTTAGAGAATACTGTGTTAACAAATACCACATGATTTTTTTTAACTTTTGAAAAATTTTTTGAAAAAAAAAAAAATGAATAAGCAAATCATGCCGAACCATGGCAGTACTTACTTCTTGGTCCTGTCAATGACGTCTTTTTTCAGCTGTGTCACCTGTCCCCTGGCGCCCTCTAGGTCTGTGGCTGTCCTGTCCACTGTGCGTTTCAGGGCATCCAACTAAAACAAGAACACAATAAAGTTTGGAAAAATGTTCCTCAAATATCTCATTAATTGTCATCAAATGTCTGACTTTATAGGTAAATTAAAATAAATCTTATCCAATATAGACATTAAATGCAATTATTATAGTCTTTCACATGAACTAGTTTCTTACTATATAAATCTGCTGGCACTAGTTCAAACATCTCTCAAAAGGGGGCACCCCCTGGAGGCTATACTGATATAGTCCAAAATATGACATGAAGATTTTACTACATTTTATCACAATTAAAAATCAAAACTACCTCATCTGAGAACCTGATCCTCTCAGCATCGGCTTCCTGGTAGTCTATTCTGTTCTTTGCAGCGAGACGTTCAGCCACAGATATTTTCTTCTCCAGTTCTTTGTTGTTCTCTATCTCATTGTCCAGAAACTGCTGCTTCTCCTTGATCAGCTCTTCTCTGTTTCTCACCTCGGCTTTCACTTTGGCCAAAGCCTACAAATTATGAAAATAAAAGATAATAATAAAAAACATGAATAAAAAAATAAATAAACAAATAAATAAAAATAAATATATAAGGTCACTGCAATTAAATGAGTATTGCTATAATTTACATACAATTATATCTAGTAAGACAACAATGGAAATTATTTGAAAATTTGACAAAGAATTTCTCAGTGACTGACATAGGATATGATTTTCATTCTGGAATTATTTTTTGTTTCACTGCACCTTATTACAACTAAGCTAGCTTCAAATGATTTTATATTATATATTATAGTATTTCTCATATGTTTATATCATCACCTGAGCCAACAGATCCATCTCTTTGTCCCTCTTCTGCATTTGGTCAATGGTGTTCTCCCACTGCCGTATGAGATCTTGACGCTCAGCGTGCGCTTTACGAAACTCCTCGGCTGTCTTGTCCAGCTCTATCTGTGCAGTAAGTGTCTCCGTGGTCTCGTGGTCCAGCTTGTGCCTGTGGTCCATAGCCTCATCTGTGAGGTGCTCCATTCTCAGTGATAATTCCTGCACAACACGTGATATTGTATATTCACTCATATAATTTGTTCAAAATTGGTTAAAATAACAAATATAATTTCTTAGTAGATCTAAACTTGAAAAAAAAAAAAATTACAGGCAACTTTTTTTATATGTAAGACAGCAATATTAAAAACAAATCATCAAAAAAAAATGCATTCATCCATTAAAAGTACACATTACTATCTGTAATTAAAAAAGGTGTCACATAATGTTAATAAAACTACAAATTCCCAACAGTACCGAACTTTGACCTTACTTTGATTTTGGCCTCATCTTGTCTGGAGTACTTTGAGATGGTCATGGCATCCTCATCTTTGCGTGCTGACTCCTCTAACCAGGCTTCAAGGGCCTGCTGATCCCAATTCATCTGAGATTTCAGCTCCTCTAATTTCTGGGTCTGCTTGAAGATGTTGTTCTGGAAAATACAAAACCAGTTATACTTGCTGTAGGTAATTAGACAAAAAATATACTTGTCAACAGAAAATGATGTATAAGATTGCAAACTTTTATTTGTATCTTAAACATATAGGCATATTGTACAACTTCTGTATATTTCTAAAAAAAACTGTGAAAAAAGAAAAATTGGCACCTCTATAAATTCACAAATTTTAGTTGTAACAAAAATGTTACAATGAATCAGAAATTAATTCTAATCAATTTTAATGTTTGACAATCCAATGAATCACAAGTAGTGGAAAATTCACATAAGATATGGGAAAAAAATCATGTCACTAAGCACTTTCAATACCTCATATATATTCTTCTGCTCTTTTAAGTTTTCATATTCTCTCTCCAACCTTTGAATTTCCTGCTTCAGTCTCCCCATTTCTCTCTGGGCTATTTTGCTCATGTGATCTTCAGTTTCAGTCTCTCTATTTCTGGCATTCAGGAGACCCTACCAGAGACAGAATATGCAGTTTCAATTTATTTAGAAACCATGAACATTGCATAGAATAAGTTTTTTTACTGATGAAATTAGATTTTGTGCAACATGTATTAACTTGAAATATTCCATGACACATTTTTGCTTATTTTTTTTAAATTAAAAAACACCAGAAAATCTGTAACTAGTAAGACATTATTTCCATGAAATCACTTCTCTATTTCCACAAGATCTTGCTGGGCATATATACAGTACCTGGGTGTGGTGCAACTCTTGTCTAACATTCTTCAGGTGCTCTGACATAGCATGCACTCTGTCATCATTGTCATTCAGCTCATTCTTGGAAGCAACAATAGCCTTCTGTTTCTTGTTTATCTAAAGAAGATAAAAACAAATGTATTAGCTTTTTACCTTGTCAGATGATTTACAATTGTAATTTTATAGACAAATGAAAGGTGTCGTTGCCTGATACATGCGTTATGGATTTGAAATGCTGTCACTGAGTAATTATGAAACGGATAAAAAGGCACATTAAATTAGAAATAATCCACCAACCCCTCATTTACTTGAAGAAGGTAATCGTGTTTACATCAAAATATACACAGCAATCGATCTTCCAAAGTCTCTCTCCCTACCAATATACTTTAAGTCGCTTAAAAATTGCTGTACATTCTCTAATCAAAAATGGTACCTTTAAATGACATATTTTTCAACTGAACTTACCTCATCTTCGAGGTACTTGTTTTCTGCATTTGCCACGGGCACTGCAAAGCCCTCATCCCAATCCATTTCACTAAGAATGCTGCTCATTTTGGTCGTCTTGTTAATGTTTACCTCTCGTTTGTACTTATATTTCTAAATGCCGTTAATCCTTCTAACGTCTTATATTAGTAATCCCGGGTAGCGCTCTTTCTATTGGCGCATTAACGGATATATCATATAATTAAATTAAGTACTTCTATATTTTCCCATCTAGTAAAACGCAAGACTCAAATGTGCATAGTACACTGCTGAATGAAAGAATCCAATAGTTTGCTGTGGATACCAAGCCCCGGATGTTGCTACGGGATCTCGCGAGATAACATAGGCCTTGCTTTAAAATCTGTTTTTATTTTCCAACATAACATCTAATTAGATATATGGAATAAACCCCTCTATCTTGACTTTCCATTTGGTGTATTTACGCCTGGTATAACGAAGAAAATTAAAATAAAAATAATTAAAATATAAAAAGCTTAGGTCACGTGATATGCGAGAACCTTTTATGTCACGTGACTGTCATGTGCAAAACGTTTCAGTTGTACGAAGAAGCTAAATGTCGTTAAAAGTGCATGGTGAAACTGTTGTCTTGTAAATAAAAGGTAAACGGAGTTTAAATTATCATTAGTTTATCTTTATTTCCTTTAGGCTAGTGCAGGAGCTGGTTATTTCGTATTAAAATGTTAAACTTTTCAGTTTTTCTAGTTATTATGGATTGAAAGAATACCCCCCCCCCCCCGTACTTGCACATACATGTATACAACTAAGCTGAGGCACTACACCCTTAGTGTACTCGTACAGCATGCATGACAATTAAAACCTGGGTTCTTAAAAACACATCATCATAAAATAAAACGTAGCCACCAATTTATTAAATGCATATAGGGGAACTATTGGTGCAAATGATGCATTCGTTTACTGAATATACATGTACATGTACTGGGTACTGTGTATAATTGTGTTATAATTTCAAAGATCATTGGGTTCTCCCATTTATATGCACATGTGCATATATGCTACACCGGTAGTAAGGTTCATATTTGTACAAAACCTTAAGATTTTCTTCATGTAGAGCCAGTGATGTACGGGTAGAGCTTACTTGTATGGGGTTGGGATGAAATACTGGGTATACGGCACGCCTTGTTAAGGTCCACTAAATGCATGTGATGAAATCACTCATTTACATATTATGTTTATAATTGTAATCAGTCAGCATATTATCATTCACCTTACTTCAGTCTTGAATGAATATTTATCATCCTCTGTATAGGTATACCTGATAAGTAGAACTGATATAACTTAAAAGTAGCTAGAAGCCCTCAATTGTTATCTATTGCATTGCAATTAGTATTTAAATGAGTTGCTGCCACTGTGGCATGCAGATAGATTCTCTGGAGATAATGTGTATAAAGGCTGAATGCTTGGACTTAATAAAGGACTTTTAGACTTGGAACTGAATATGTGAGTCTGTGGTGATATTCCCTCTCCCATGCATCAGTGACAAGTAAAATATTAGAAGAACCTGGGTAGGGTGGAATATGGACCCCTACAGCCTGAGCACAACGCTGAATATAATCACTCAGTTTGCAATATTTTGGATTTCATGAAAATAAAACACACTTGTATCAAGAGAGATTAACACAGCTTTTTTTTCCCCTCTTTTAGCCATTTTTCCCATTTAAGCCAAAACATATAAATATCACGTGAAAAATAACAACAACAAGAATTAATGCTCGTTCATTTATTAAAACCCAACAACCATAATCTATACATACAGTACTGTATTAACTCAGTAACATACGGTATTATATTTATATACAAATACTATAACAGCTATATAATAATTATCTTATGTTCAAAACAGGGGAACCACAAGAGCTCAAGCCTGCTTGCAATTTGGGTTTAACAAAAAGTGTTCAAGTCTGAAATTCAGAAATAAGATGACTTGAAAGTGCATATACATGTTTCTGTGGATGACACCAAGCACCTTCTGAATAAAGGATTTGTTTAGTTTCAGGCCTTAAAGCTTAAACACTGATAGTTCACATGATTTTGCTCTTCTCACAAGAGCAACATGTAGGGGAAACATGATCTGGGAAACACCAGTAGGTGCTTACCTATATTGTGACCATTCATTGGCCTTCTAAAGGAATGAACAAGATATTGTTCAGATTAATATAGATCAATATAATTATCACATAATATACTTTTAATGAGGTGTTTAATTTTTTTCTTTTTTTCATCTCAAATATAATCATCTCAGTAGACTATTAAAACTAAATATGCAGTTTTTCTATTCTATAGTAAGAATGTTCCTCACCATAGTGTTCAATTACAGCTTGCCATTTTCCTAATTATTTTTTTTACATAACTGTAATATTATTATCCTTATAACAAATTATGCAAGAATAAAGTTTTCATTGTTAAATATATGTACAATGCAGAGCTGATCCAATTTCTTGCATGTACTAGTATCTAAAATCTAACAATTTTGACTCCTTTCTTCGTACAATTATACCATAAGTTATACACCCGTTCCTTATATAAGCACTTAAGCAACAGCTCATAAAAAAACTTCTGAATAACAATTAAACAAACCTAATATTCAACCACTAATTTCTCCTACAGGGTACAGTAAAAGCTTGAAAATTTCATCGCTGAAAAATTAATTTATAATAAATTTGATTATAAAACAATAGGCATATTGTAATGGTTTCTCTCAGAACTGTACTTTGTCAATAAATAATAATTGCATTTAGAATATCTAACCATCTATATCCATAATTTTGATACCTCTGATGAAATACTAATTGACATTATAGTGATTACGATAAGCCAAAATCAGGTCATCACTTAAATGTACACACCATGGGTGTGACTCTGTTTTAGTCTTCTTTACAATTCTGGAAACATTAAAAATTGCTTAATCATATATATTATATAAAGCATTATGCTTATTAGATAGCTGCAATATGCTACATACATTCATCTTGGGTTTATCTAAGACATAGTTTCAACCTATATTACTGATCTTTAACAAAGCAGCCGCCTGTAATCACATCCCTTAAAATAGTTTGTGTTGATGAAAGGACCCACTGCAAATCCAAATAATCATCTGAATAACAGTGACATAAAACACACATAAAAGTTAATTAAAATGATTGCAACAACTGTATAAAACAGCAATCCACTGTATTTAGTTAATATATGATATATGAGATACATGATAATAAACATTATCCTGATGGACATTTCCTTGTAGAACAAAACGTCAAACCATTTCTTCTGGCTTTGTCGCAATTGTTCTGTGGCTCTGATTGAAGGAATTTAAACCCGTCATCTCATCTTTTATCACTGTATATATAAAATGTCTACTATTAATTCATTAAAAACAACAAACCTCATGATTGTCAAGAGTACAAAAAACAACACAAAAATGAGACGATGTTAGTACTGAAAACCTGCACTCTGAAATATATATCATGAGACTATAAAAAACTGTTTCTTAGTGGCATATGTACCCTTAGTCTCAAACTGTGGCACACCATTCTGCCAAATGGGTGTGGTTTTTTTGTTAAATCATAAGCCCCTCCCCCTAAAAAAAAAAAAAAAAAAAGCTGATGAAACATCATGGCATAGTTTTGCCCTGGTTTGTTGTATAATATATTCTCTTCTTTTGACCCCATGGCAGTCCATAGCAATAATAACACACTGACTGCTATTCAGCACATGCAAAGGTACAAAGTTAAGAATCCAGGTGTTGACCATGCAGCAAGTTCACCCTGTAGTTATTATAACATAATGAATGCATCTAAAACTAAAAAGCCTGATTATATTTTAAAATGATTTTTTTGACAAAGATAGAAAATCTTAGTATATATCATAGAATATATCATAAAAAAAATTAGTTCATAAGGCTCAACACCTTGTAAATAAGGTTTCCAAAAGCAACATACATACCTTGAATATATAGCAAATATCTAATGTAGAGTTTAAAAATAATTTCTAGACACTTTGAAAGGCATTCTATTTAACACATTGATTTTATCTATCACCTGAATCAATGACACCATGTTAAAAGGCATAAAAAAATTACAAGATATAGTTTGGTTAAGGAACCATTTTGAAAAAAATTCTACATTTGCTTTTGAGCAGAAATCTCACATTATGGCTGTGCTTAACAAATTGCACCTCACGTAATACATGGACAAAATTACATTATTATGTCCAAGCCTAAAACAACTTTTGTCAATTATGACAAAAGAACATCTTATATTTCTTTTGTGTTTATAACAGTTTACTTAAAGGTACATACGAACCGAGCATCGGTGGAGCGTGGATTCCCAGTAACACATGTAAACCACTTCTACTAGATTCTTATATGATTCAAATAAATTTGACATGCCAAGGGATAAACTGAATAGATCACTCGATCAGCCATAAAAGACCTTTAGATTGCTCCTTTCTTTAAATTTATGGTTGTAAATTTAACCTACTTTCGTGACCTACTTTCCTGCCCCATTGACATACAGCTTAGAATGCCAGCAGAAAAATCCGTTCAAACATCATTTTCGGATAAAATTAAACAATGTTTTTTGGCAATTCTCTTAGTTATACTACTTGAAACTATATGCTGGCATTTGGTTGGTTTTTGTGACAAAAAGTTGACTTTGTATGCATCTTTAAACAAATGTATTATACTTCATTTTTTCATTTTTTTTTTCATTTTTTGTGTTTGTACCAGAGACGGTCACAGTTGAACTAATGAAACTTTTACCCTTGCGAATGTAATAACATTTTTTTCCATTGTAACATATGACATCATCTTTTCATTTTGTGATATTCACTATATCATTCATGCATTTTTACTTCTTGGAGAAGTTCAGAAATTCTATGGCATCATCAAAATATTTTGATGCTATAAACCAAATAATTTAATTCGTAACACTTTATAATTCTCTTTACCTGTTTCTTAAACATTTTACATCGACTTCTTATAATAATAATAATAATAATAATAATATTTTTTAAAGTCTAAAATCCAATCAAGTTCAGTAGACGTTACAAAATATGTATATCAAACTTGGTTGCATAACCTCTTTGTTTAATCCATACTTGCCCTGATATTTAAAGCTGTACCTTCCTATATAATATGTATATCGTCAAACCAAACCGTGTTTATTAACATACACATATACGTATATTCACAGGCTTGTGTTAAATTTTTTCATCCACTACTGTGATTTTGACTTCATCCCCAACATTTTGCTGCTGATCTACGACTCCACTTGAAATCGTCTCCATTCATGATGACTAGTTACACCTTTGGGTCGTCCATTGCTCCTTTGCGCTGTAGTTTCCTCATCCTTCGCCTTTTCTCAGCCATTGGTTTCGTCTTGCCATTGTCAGTTTCTGAGCTGCTGTCTTCTATATCCACCTAAATATATAAAAAAATATTTCATCACTCTCACAACTTTTTTTTAAACATTTATATATTTCAAACAAATAGCCATTATAGTTATAGTATTTAAATGGTTAAAAAGCAGACATCTTTTTGTCAATTCTTTTGATGTTTACATCATAGTTTTGTTTAATAATACAAACTCTTTTCATTAATTATTCTTCCTTATCACTACTGCACATTATAATATAAAATAAATTTGATCACCCTTATATTTAAAAATTAAACATAATATTACCTCACTATGCAAAAGTAAACAACTGATATGAACATGATTTTAAAATGTCTTGTACAGTGATGTGCCTCTGGGCAATTTGATTTTCCACAAACTTTTAATTTTCTATCAATTTTCAATCATTAGCCAGATAGTTAGACATTTAGTTTTCTGCTTTGAAAATAGAAGTTGTATGTATAGTTGTAACACAGAATGAACATCTTATATATTTTATTTATATTTCAGAACCTAAATTGCTCATACAGAGTGCATTTCCAGTGCTTGCCCAGGCCCTATTTTCTGTAGCAATGCCCCTGGTGTTTGCCTGACTTTTACCTTGGTTTCTTGGCCTCTTTTGATGAGGGCGGTGTCAGTGGCACTCTTAGTCAACATAGGCTCAGTTTCACTGGCATCTTTTTTGGGCAGCTCCACCATCTCTGTTTCTTCAGGAAAAGTGTCCTGTGCTTCCTCGCTTTCCCCCCGGCCCAGATCAAACATCGCTGAATCTTTGGGTGTGTCTCCTAAGCTATACGCTTTTTGTACTCTCCGCGTCTTGGCTCTCTCTGCACGCACATCGGCCTCACGTTCTGCCTCTGAAAATGGGACCTTGGCTTCCCCATTTCCCTTAGGTTTTTCTCCCTTTGTGTCCTCTGTCTCAGACTCTTCTGACTCTTCAATTGCCTCCATGTGGTGTGACCTCTCTGGAGGTAAAGTGACACGTTTTCTCTCGTCATGGACTCCGTCCACGACCTCTTTTTCAGGACTTGGCTCACTATGCTGCCTGCGTAGTTTTGCTGTGAAAGCTGCTTGTCTGGCTGCTCCTGGAAAATTGTAAGTATACAACGTAAACACTGAGAGAGAGAGAGAGAGAATGCTTAACATGCACGTACAACCATATCTTACAACCTGGCACAAGCAATCTTAGCAAATTTAACAAAGCCCCTTTATATCCATTAATCATCCACCACAATCTCATCTCGGGCACCTATCACAATCACATTATTGCACAACTGCCACACTCACATTCTAGGACATCTGCTACAATCACATTCTGGCACAACTACCACATTTGCCACAATCACATTCTGCCACATCTACAACAATCACATTTCAGGACATCTGCCACAATCACATTCTGGCACATCTACTGCAATCCAATTCTGGCATATCTACGATAATCACAATCAAGCACCTCTACCACAATCTGCATACCATACCATACTACTTACCCTTTACAGATCTTGGTAGAAGTGGTGATCCACTGGGAGAGAAAGAGACACTCATGGCTCTCCTGTAGCGGTTCTGTCTCAACTGCTTCTCATGTAGCTGGTGGACCAAGTCTTGAGAGTCCTCCCTGACTAGATTCTTATTGGCTTTGGCATGGAGCTACAATAGTAAAGACTAGCTGTGAAAAAATGCACTTCAATATCTCTCCCTTTCTTTTTTTAATGTCAGGAATTTTCTAAACAGGTGCACAATATGAGAATATTTAAACAAAAATGATTAATGAGGATAACATATGCAACTTATGGTAAAATTCGACCTGCATGGACAAAATTGGGGACATGATTAAAAAAAAAAAAAAAAAAAAAAAACTGAATGAATCAGCTAAAATAATGTTATGTAATACCTATATTTCTAAATCTAATTGAATATCTCATAGAGAGGATGTAGCATTCATGACAGTCTTGGTTATAATCTTTTGGAAAAATATTATAATGGATTTGTTGATATGTTTCAGTTATAAACTGTGTATAAATGCACCACAATATCTTACCGCTCTTGATGGAGCTTTTACTAACATCTTCCGCAAGTCTGATGGTTTGGGATTCGGAATAAACTTTGCAGAAGCAGAAGTAGACAATCTTCGTCTAGGACTACCTATGAATGAAGAAATATCACAAAGGAAAGTTATCGGAATAAACTTTGCAGAAGCAGAAGTAGACAATCTTCGTCTAGGACTACCTATGGATGAAGAAATATCACCAAGGAAAGTTATTTGTATGTTATTATGAGGAGAGTATTATTAATTTATTAATTCATTTGTATCTAATGATCGATGATGATCGTTAAAAGTAAAGAAAACAGATATACCTCATTGACATTTCATGTAAGGAAAAAAATCGTAAATTACCTGGAAACACAGTGTCTGGGGCATTACGCAGGAGATCTGGATGTTCCAACATGGCGGCATTTTCCAATATATCCTCATAGTCATCAGAGGCATTGGAGGCAATTGTAGCACTGAAATGGTGGAAGATTGTGTTAGGTGTGATAGGTTGTCTCACCCAACACATTGTCAACAAGGGTTGGTTGCAGTGCTGGTTCAACTCATCTGACATACTGACCATAGTAATCCGGAACAGCACATATTTATAATAAATTTCAGGATAACAAATAGAAAATAATCTCACTGTTTTGCTATCTGTGAAACAAGCTTTTGTACATTATCCAAGTTAAGTTTTAAACATGCTCATCTTGGTTGACATAGGTGTGAAGATAGTCTTATGACTAAATTTTGATTAAAATTTGGAAAATTATGTTTGCTAATGAAATACAATAATGGGTCAACATCAATCCTTTGTTAAATGCTGTATTTTGATGATGGTATGACAATGAGAATTAACAAAAGAATATAATTTAATCAGTAGTGTACAAATTTCTTTAACAGTAAGGTCTCGTCAACAAAAAATTCAATTTCATTTTTTCATTACACTGGCAAGTACCAAGAAATGAATTAAAGAAACATGCCCATATTACTGATGCCTACTTTGTATAAAATATCACAATAAACTTTATAAATAAAGTACGCCTTTACAGATTACAATATCATTATATCATATTAATTTACAGATAATTTTCTTTATTATAATTTGGAACTTAGATATGTTAAATTGGAAGAAAATAATGACTTTAAGTAGAGGGAAAAAATACAGTGGGTTATGGTTGGCACTGTGCAAACACGAGATGAACTTTACCACAAAGTTATTTTTTAAAAATGAACCATTTTGCAACAATTTCAATAATGGCTTTAAAGTTGGAAAAAAAAAAAAAAAAAAAAAAACATGGGCCAGATGCACAAATATCACCTTCCTATTCAGTATGTGCTTGTACAATCAGAACATTCTCAACAAACACAATGGGTCATGCACAGCTAACGCAATGGTGACCTGATTACACAATCTGGAGAAGATGCAGATTTCTCACCTACCACACTGAGATAACCTGACCATGCACAGCCTACACCATGATTGCATTAAGAATCAGACAGAGCTTATTTTCAGTTTTATTTTCTTACTAAAATTCAAGATACATGCACTTCACATCATGCATCATTTATTGACGTTAACTTTTAAGTTGGATAATATTGCTTGTTTATGTTATGATTGAACATTTTCAATGAGAAAACCACCTGTTAAAGATTAAAAACATTAAAATTAAATGGTTTGGTATAGGTCGAGTTATTGGACAGAGCTTCAGAGGCATCAGGTGAGTAAATTTGATAAATTAGTAGTATATGTATAGGTTCACATTAAAATCAAACTGGCTGAAATGACTTGTTATCAGCTTTTGATCAAATCCCTAAAAAAAAACCAATATCATTTAGATAGGTTTTCCCTAAAGTCTTAGACTACATTAGTTTGAGTTACTGTCCAAAGGGGTGGTCATAGGAAAGGGAGGTGGGCAGTTAAAGGATGAATGTAACAGAACTCACCAAACTGCCGCAGATGATCTGCAATCACCAAATATTTAATCACAGTTTTCAAAAGTAAACAATTTATTAAAAAAAAAAAAAAAAAAAAAAAAAAAAGATCTGTTTTTATGGGCTAGTAAGTTTGGGGAAATGGACTCCCATCTTTAATGTTTAATTCAAATGTTTATAAATTTGTAAAGCCTTCACATATTAGGTGGTCTGTGGTTTGTCTATAGATGGAGCCATCTGTCATGGTGAGGAGCCAACGCGAACCTAGTCTTTACGCCTAATAAATTTATACTATTGTAATAACAAGAAACGACACACACAGAAGAGATTCCAAGAACCTAAACACTTCTATAAAATGGTACCAAATAAAACCTAATGTAATACTAATACAAAGAAAAACTTACAGTATCATGATCAAGGTATTTCATTGCATTTCCACATAAACAAATTATTACCCCAATACTACCCTCCAAGATGCATGTACAACAATTTGGGATAAACTGATGATAATGATAATTCACCCCAAGGCACAATATGACAACTTTCTACAAAGAACCAAATGAGAAAAGACTCACAATGAAGTAAAGATTTTTGTTCATAGAGGGACAAATAACATTCACATTAAAAATCAGAGCAGTGAGAGGACAGACAAAAAGAAAAAAAGTTTAACCATAACATTTGGTTAAATAGTTGAAAGTGCTACCAACATTTTTAATTTGTGCACGGGAATAAAATACTAATAAGGAAAAACCATCCAACTGTGCAGTGTATGTAAAAACACATTTCTAAATATATTCCAGGCATGTCACTGGAGATGGGGGGGGGGGGGGGGGTGTAATTCAAATTCAAAAC